GTTGTTAGCACTGTTACAAGACTTGTGGGATTATAATCTTGCTGACACTCTACCTGTGTAGTTTCTGTTGTTAGCACTGTTACAAGACTTGTGGGATTATAATCTTTCTGACACTCTACCTGTGTAGTTTCTGTTGTTAGCACTGTTACAAGACTTGATGGATTATAATCTTGCTGACACTCTACCTGTGTAGTTTCCGTTGTTAGCACTGTTACAGACTGGGTTTATGTTAAGCTTGAGGAATGGTGATATGCAGTGTCAAAGTTTTAACGGAACTTATCTTCGATATAGAGATTCCGTGTTTTCCAGAAGTTCCTCAACATATTTTTCCAAAACACCAAAATCTACATATGAATGATGTCACTGCTTGAATAGGAAGAATCATACAATATTTGAGCATTGGTCATTAGTATAAGTAACGGACACTCACATAAATCGTACATGGAATGATTGTGAAAATATGGCTGCTTCTGGGAGGGTGAACAAAACACTGATTTTTTCTGAAAACCTACTAGAATGTTGAAATATTGTAATAACCTGCAATAAGACCAAGAATGGTCAAATCACTAGCAAAAATGAGTACTTTAATCTCAAAACCATTAACTTTCCTTTCCGCAGCTGTAAAATACAAGCCTTCCTTGCGTATAAAGTTTACATCTCAAAGCTGATTCGCTACTCGAGAGCCTTTACAGAGCATCCGAATTTGCTTGATGTATGCGCAATGTTGACCAACAAAATGCTTACAGTTTTCGGTCGAGGAGACTTCAATCTGTGTTTGAAGAAATTTGCGGTTGTCATCATTACCCGATTCCAACGACGACATTCCAGAGTTTTGAAATATAATGATTTTTGTTGTGTTTTTATCATTGCTGACTATATATTTGCACGAATTTTACGGGTACCACACATGGTGTGGAAATATAGTCTCTTTGTTCATTATTTCTGTCTGCTTGTGTTTCCTCGGCTTCTTTAATTTCCTTTTCGTACAGTTCTGATTCTGACCTGTTTTATTTTCACCGCAGTGCATTTTTCTGTTTCACCTTACCAGTACGCTGACTTGTAAAACCTGACAGAATGTTCCATTCTTGTGAAAGCCTAGCAGTACGCTTACGCTCTCTGCACCCCTAGAATATGTCATAACAAAATCGAAAGTTCAGTTTATGACATCTTGTAGATGAGACAAGAAGACTAGTTTGATCAATTGATGTACATCAAACGAATCTCGCGGTCGCGTAACGTTGAAATTGATTAGATTTGAAGTAGGATATGACTCTCCTTTGTAATCTTCAAAGGGTAGATATCATTCTAGCAATTGGTCAAGACTTTTTACCCGTGACTGACCAATCAAATATCCAGCCATGTGCCCTCAATTTTGCTATGGCATATTCCTGGGGTTCAGAGAGCAACATTTAGCGTAGTCCCTAGAGTATCGAGGATGGAGGAAACCCTCCAAGAACATCATATACTTGATTTTGATTACTTGGGAAAACCCCATTTAAAAAAGTGACAAAGTGGGTAAACCTACCAGCACATTGACCTCTGCAGCATACTCTTCAAACTTGTCTGCGCTTCTCTCTTCATTATCTGGTTTCTTTGGTTCATAAATAATACTGCAATGTAGAAAGATACATCATAAGTAGGGTATTTTCAACTAAAAACAGCCATTGTGAAAAGGACAGAACATATTATAATAGCTTCAATGCAGAAACAAGGCGGCTCCTGGGAAACTATGAGATTGTGAAAGTGCAACAATAAAGTTAAGGTAACACAACAAATTTACCTTCAACTGATTAAAAACACAGTGAACAACTTTCCTAACTAACGACAAGTCCAGATACACACAACTTGCTCTCAACATTCCCTCAAATGACACTGATTTGCGTCTACATAATTTTCGAAAATAAATCACTTTCATCAGAACAACTTATATTAAAACAAACATGTGTCAATAAACAATAAAATCGTAACAGCTTTAAACGTAACTTCCAACAGAACAAAACATGTCAGAGGGAGGAGAGCATTTCCAGCGGAGCAATTCATTACCTTTCAACGAAACAAACATTTTAAATGGAACAATTCCTTACCTTTTCACAGAACAAACATTTCTACGGAACAATGCATTCCAAAGGAACGATTGGTTACCTTTCCAGCGAAACAAACATTTCCAAAGGAACAGTTCGTTACCTTTCCAACGAAACAAACATTTCTAATGGAACAAGTCTTTACTTTTCCAACGAAATAAATCAGGGTAACAATGCATTACATTTTCAACGAAACAAAAAATTGTCGACAGAACAATTCAATACATTTTCAACGAAATAAAACATTTCTAACAGAACAATTCAATACATTGAAACAAAACATTCCTAAAAGAACAATTCAATACAATGAAACAAAACATTTCCTACAGAACAATTCAAAACATTGAAACAAAACATTTCTAACAGAACAGTTCAATACAATGAAACAAAACATTTCCTACAGAACAATTCAATACATTTAACCAAAACATTTCCTACAGAACAATTCAATACATTTAACCAAAACATTTCCTACAGAACAATTCAATACATTTAACCAAAACATTTCCTACAGAACAATTCAATACATTGAAAAAAAACATTTTTAACAGAATAATTCAATACAATGAAACAAAACATTTCCTACAGAACAATTCAAAACATTGAAACAAAACATTTCTAACAGAACAACTCGATACATTGAAACAAAACATTCTAATAAAACAATTCAATACATTGAAACAAAACAATTCCTACAGAACAATTCAATGCATCGAAACAAAACATTTCTAACAGAACAATTCGATACATTGAAACAAAACATTCTAATAAAACAATTCAATACATTGAAACAAAACACTTACTACAGAACAATTCAATACATTGAAACAAGACATTTCTAACAGAACAATTCAATACAATGAAACAAAACACTTCCTACAGAACAATTAAATACATTGAAACAAAACATTTCTAACAGAAAAATTCAATACAATGAAACAAAACATTTCCTACAGAACAATTCAAAACATTGAAACAAAACATTTCTAACAGAACCACTCAATACATTGAAACAAAACATTTCTAACGGAACAATTCAATACAATGAAACAAAACATTTCCTACAGAACAATTCAAAACATTGAAACAAAACATTTCTAACAGAACAGTTCAATACAATGAAACAAAACATTTCCTACAGAACAATTCAAAACATTGAAACAAAACATTTCTAACAGAACCACTCAATACATTGAAACAAAACATTTCTAACAAAACAATTCAATACAATGAAACAAAACATTTCCTACAGAACAATTCATTACATTGAAACAAAACATTTCCTACAGAACAATTCAAAACATTGAAACAAAACATTTCTAACAGAACCACTCAATACATTGAAACAAAACATTTCTAACAAAACAATTCAATACAATGAAACAAAACATTTCCTACAGAACAATTCAATTCATCGAAACAAAACATTTCTAACAGAACAATTCGATACATTGAAACAAAACATTCTAATAAAACAATTCAATACATTGAAACAAAACATTCCTAAAAGAACAATTCAATACAATGAAACAAAACATTTCCTACAGAACAATTCAAAACATTGAAACAAAACATTTCTAACAGAACAGTTCAATACAATGAAACAAAACATTTCCTACAGAACAATTCATTACATTGAAACAAAACATTTCTAACAGAACAGTTCAATACAATGAAACAAAACATTTCCTACAGAACAATTCATTACATTGAAACAAAACATTTCCTACAGAACAACTCCATACATTGAAACAAAACATTTCTAGCAGAACAATTTAATACATTGAAACAAAACATTTCTAACCGAACAACTCAATACATTGAAACAAAACATTTCTAACAAAACAATTCAATACAATGAAACAAAACATTTCCTACAGAACAATTCATTACATTGAAACAAAACATTTCCTACAGAACAATTCAATACATTGAAAAAAAACATTTTTAACAGAATAATTCAATACAATGAAACAAAACATTTCCTACAGAACAATTCATTACATTGAAACAAAACATTTCCTACAGAACAACTCCATACATTGAAACAAAACATTTCTAGCAGAACAATTCAATACAATGAAACAAAACACTTCCTACAGAACAATTCAATAAATTGAAACAAAACATTTCCTACAGAACAATTCAATGCATCGAAACAAAACATTTCTAACAGAACAACTCGATACATTGAAACAAAATATTTTCACAGAAGAGTTCGTTACATTTTTAACGGAACAAAACATTTCCGATGGAACAAACTGTTGAATTTCCAAACGAACAAAACATTCCAACTATAAAAAACCATTTCAAACAGAAAAAAATCCCTTTCAACAGAACAAAACATTTCCGATGGAACAAACAATTGAATTTCCAAACGAACAAAACATTCCAACTATAAAAAACCATTTCAAACAGAAAAAAATCCCTTTCAATAGAACAAAACATTTCCAAAACAACGAACCTTTTCGACCCAACAGAACAAGATATTGCTAAAATGCGATCAATTGTTGAAACGAACCCAACAGAACAAGATATTGCTAAATTGAAATCATTTTTTGTCACGAAAAAGAAGGACGTTTAAGAACTAGATATCAAACACTAATAAAAAAAAAGAGTACAAAAAACATTTGAAAGATTCCCGATATAGTCAGGTGTTTATCGAAAGTTCTCTCTCTCTCTATATATATATAATTCCTAAACATCAGAATACCTAAATAGGGCTTTATTGTTTTTATTCTATAATGTCACTGTTAAGTAACGATGACAAGTTATTCGTATAGCAGCAATTTAACTATTAAGAACCAAACTGTTACATAATCATGCTAGCGTTATCGAATCGGTAAGAACTCGCGATCGGGAACGTATATTTACTCATGAAAGAAGACGGCTAGTGTGACCAAGCGAGGGTAGCAGAATGTAATGTGGCCCCCTGCAAAATCGAAGTGCTGAAACATTTCTCGTAGGTGTTGGAGCGTGTGGTAATGTCGGGCTGGATCACTGTATAGGTCTCTTACAACACCCCACCACCTCTCAGCGACAACTTCAGACACACCTATCTCTTTGTTGACGTCGTGCCACCTCTGTCGGACACTGTCGCTATCAGCCATAGTGGTGTAGGTCGGTATAGAAAGTGGTGGATGTAGATTAGTGGCTTCAAGAAGCCCAGAACAATCTTTAGAACTTACTTCAGTATATAAGGTTCATTGCTGTTGCACGATGTTTATTTATCTCAAATCTTAATCATTCGGATGCTTAACTTACATACACTAAGAATTAAAACCAATTCCGGAAATCCGGATATGATTAAATCAAAAACAGAACAATATTTTATTTGTGACTTACGAAATGATTCAGAACGTTAGATCTTACGGTAAAATGTTACCCAGTTATGTAATCCGGTTTTAGCTTTTAAGATTTGTCTCCCTTGTTAACACTATGTTAAACCACGGACTTAGATAACACTAATCTAAGTCCGTGGTTAAACTTAATTCCTGCTAGAAATATATTTTATTATTTACAAATCTTTACATCAACAGAGCGATTTTTTAAAATCTTTTTCTACGTCTACATCTACATCTACATAGTAATGGCCACCTTCATCTATTTGAAGATCAAGTCATGTGATAGTGGGTGCTAGGCCAAAAGAAGAGAAGAGAAGATAAAAGATAGTGAAAGGGAATAGGTAGAGATTGTATGTTTTTTTTGTTTATGGACAGTTTGAAGCAGTCAGAATAGGTAATGGAGGTTATATCTGGAGGCAGAATATTCCAGTCTACTATTGTACGAGGGAAAAGGTTTGTTGTCGTACATGAGTGTTTGATATGAGTTCTGGTGTGCGTGTCTTGTGTGGCGGGATGGAGGTATTTGTTGGTCTTTTCTTATATTGATTTTGTCATGTATAGTTTTATGTAGTGTTGTCAGTCGCATGACTCTCCTTCTGTCTTCAAGTGATTGCCAGTTAAGGTGTTGAAGCATGTCATCAACACTGGAGGTGTTTCTAAATTTGTTTGTGATTAATCTGGCTGCTCTACGCTGCACCATTTCAATTTTGTTTATGTCTGTTTTAGTATAATTAAGGGTCCCAAACTGAGCAGGCATATTCTAGGGATGGTCTGACAAGTGTTTTATATGCCCGCTCCTTGACAGATGTAGAGTTTATCTTTAGATTTCGTCTGAGAAAGCCTAAGGTGGAGTTGGCTTTCCCACAGATGTTATTTATGTGACATTCCCACTTGAGATTTGACTGTAGAGTGACACCTACTTTGTTATAATTCCTTTCCGTGCAGCATGTATTTGTGATGTTGTGGGTGTTTGTTGTTGGTGACGGAAAGGGCGTTACATTTGTCAGGATGGAAGGACATTTCCCAAGCTATCTTCCATAGAGCTAATGTGTCTAAATCTTGTTGTAATAGCTGGGCATCAGATGGTGATTTGATAGTAAGATAGACAATGGTGTCATCTGCAAATAGACGTACAGCGGAGTGAAGGCCAACAAGAATGTCGTTTATATAAAATAGAAAGAGGGATGGACCAATAACCGAGCCTTGAGGGACACCAGACTTGCCATAGACAATGCTAGATCCCCCCCCNACCACCTCAACGATGACAGCCTGCTTCCTATTGTCCAAGAAGTTTTCTATCCAGGTGTTAACATTCTCATTAACACCATAATGACGAAGCTTATGACAAAGAAGCGAATGACTAACCTTGGCAAAAGCTTTGGAAAAATCCATGATCAAGATGTCGGTTTGTTTTCCCTTGTCAATGTTTGAGCTGACATCATCAACAAATTCAATGAGCTGACTCGCACATGATACTGAACTTCGAAAACCGTATTGGAGTGGGTATAGGATGTTATGTTTGTCAGCGTGGTTCCTGATGTTACTGACTACTATGTAGTGTTCTAGAAGTTTACTACAAGTACATGTAAGAGAGATTGGCCTGTAATTTTCTGGATTTAATTTAGAGCCCTTGTTAATAGACAGGAGAGACATGCGCTAACCTCCAATCAGAGGTGACTCTGCAGGAATGAAGAGATCCGTTAAAGATGATAGAAAGGACAGGGGCAATTTCAGAAGGGAGTTCTTTCAAGATCTTGGGCTTCAACTCGTCAGGTCCAGCTGCTTTACTAGGGTTTTAATTTTGCAATAATTTGTGTACGTCATTTGGAGTGATATCAAATTCTGGCATAATAGGGTACTGGGTAGAAGATGGGATGTTACATTTTTTAAGGAATTCATCAGAAGATAATTTACCACCTGGGCTAAAAACAGACTGGAATTGCGTGTTAAGAGTCTCAGCCTTACCTACAGGGTCAGTTACAAGTTTACCATGTGAAGTTAGAGATTATATACCGTTATAGTCGGTCTTCTTATGCTTTACGTATGACCAGAATCTTTTGGAGGCACTAACATTACTGTCATTTTCTCGTGGGGTAAGAATGCCTTCAACATATTGCCAGTTGGACCTTCTGGGTTTCTTTTGAATGCCTTGCCTCAGAGCCTTGTATTTAGTCCTAATGTTCAGATCACCAGACTTTTTGACCTTTTTATAGAATCTCTTTTCATGAAAAGGTGTTTATGTCAGGAGTGACCCAAGGTAGACTAGGTTTGGGTTTGATGGTTTTATGAGGTATGTTGTCCTTTACGAGATCACAGTGGTTTGATTTGAAGAGTTCCCATTTATGATTTACATCCCTATTTGTGGTTCAATAATGCTGGTGCGGAGGGTAGACAGACCATTTCTGATTGTATCCCACTTAGCATGTTTGTAGATATGAATGTTTCGTGGAATAGTTTAAGCCTTTTTTAGGCTTAAATTAAACTAAACAAAGACACAGTCGTGGTCTGATATATCAGGCATGACCTCAGCTCTAATAACCTGGTTTGGTATGTTTGTAATTACCAGGTTGAGGGTGTTATCTTTCCTTGTAGCTTGTTCTACGATCTGTGTAAGACCCATATCGTCCAATTAGTTACCAAAATCAAAGTGTAATTTGGGATGATTTGTCTTGGGTTTTAGGATTTTGTTTTTCCAGTCCCAGCCTGGATAACTGAAGTCCCGACCTAGTAAGATTTTGACATTGTTCCTTTAGACTATTCTCATCTGATGTTTTGGGATTATAAAAGGAAGCTAGGTATAGGGATTTCATTCCGGAAATTTGTACTTTAGCCCATACTAATTCAGTTGGATACTCTTTACTGGTGAGGTATGTTACTTCATCACTGACAAAGTCGGAAATTATTGCGACTAGTACCCCACCCCCTCTCTTATCTACATTTGACATTCGGTCTTTCCGAAATACTTTAATAAAGTTATCTGGTATAAATTCCCGAGTCTTTTATTGATGGATCAAGCCATGTTTCTGTTCCGAATATTACATCAGGCTTGGTACTTTCGAGTATTTTTTAGGAAGAGATGTTGCTTATTTTTCACTGACTGGAAATTTACATTAATTAGTACTCGCAGGGGCTTAACATTTTTTGGTTTGGCCATATTGTTTCTCCGTCGTACAGCAGTCCAGGGATGAAGGGGTCTATTTGGCATAGCATTGCTTATGTTGAAGCTGCCGTCTGTGGGACTCATGATGTAATTGAGCGTGTCATAACGGTTTGATGTGCTGATGCCATGTAGATCATAAGCTATTGAGCTGTAATTTGGTTGGTCACAAATAATTCAAGAGGCCCAGACGGCCTGTATCGCTCACCTGGATATCAAAAGTAATCATGGCCAACTATTCTCCAAATAAGATCCAAGGGAATGGGCCAGACCCCGCCAATCTTTATATCATATCTGCATTAGATTTTTCTTGTCCATCAATTTTATGTATGGTTACTGGGTGAGGATCTCAACTGTTTCCAATGTGGGATACAGAAACTAGGCCCCTAGGGTTGTGGCCAGACCCCACGATCAGTTATATTTCAAGGACTGCGTTCGTCTCTTTATGCCCAACAATTGTATATATAGTTTTGGTGTGGGGATCTCAACCGTTTCAAAGTTACGACCTAGAGGTTAAGTATCCAAGGGTGGCGCAGACCCTGAGGTCAATTCTTATATCATGATTGTATTCGTCTCTTTATGCCCAGCATTTGTATATACAGTTTTGGGTCGGCGATCTCGGACCGTTTCAAAGTTATGACCCAGGGACTATGTTTCCAAGCGTGGGGCCAGACCCCAGAGCAATCCTGGAAGCATATGTGCATTCTTCTCGTCATACTCAGCAATTGTATTTATGGTGATAGGGTGGGGATCTCAACCATTTTCAAGCAATAAACTATTTTATGCCCCAACCTAAAATTAGCCAAGGGAGTCAGCCACACTACTTGTACAATTTGAATTAATGCTTCAAACCAAATATTAGAAATCATTAGATACCATATATCCATTGCCCAGTTCTACAATTTTGAATCCCCACCACCTATGGATGCTTCCAGTCAAATTTAGTTAAGTTCCAATCAGTGGTGCCACGGTATGGCATAAGCTGTCCTTCGGACCAGGTGAGCTAACAATACTAGCTCACCATGCTATCATTGAGGCCCTGGTAAGTATTACTAGGGATATTTTGGCAGCTTGTATGGTACCATTGATCGCACGACTCGCACAATGCCTCGGTGTTCCCAGGTCACGGTGTTGTCGCATGTGCCACACATATATTTGGTGCTATCTACATCATTAGATCGTACAATAAGCATTGATACAAATTTCAAATATAATATACATTTATTTGAAAAAGGATCAAGTATAACCATTTCTGTTATTTTTAACCAGATCTGATTAATGTTGTGTTTTGTTATTGAAATACATGTATAGTTGTATGATCGTGTCGATTTTAAATGTCATAACAAATAAAACAAGAGGCCCAAGAGCCTTAGCCGTCACCTGAGTTATATCATAGGTACTGGTAGCGTTATTTTATTGATTAGATGTGATGTGGAAATCAGCATGTAAACTAAGTGAAATACAATACTTGTCATGTCATCAAAGGATAATAATTTGAAAATATTGGTAAATGTTCCCATTGGGGCCCCGCCCTAGCCCCTGGGGATCCGGCATGAAACATAATTTTACAATATAATACCCTCATTCACCAAAGATGAGTCTGACTAAGTTTGAGTAATTTTCTGCTAAAAAAGGATGAAATATACCCAAAAGTGTTATTTCCCTATATAAACTATTGACAAGTATAGTAAATGTTACCCCCTCCCCAAGGGAGAACGGATAGCTCGGGGGTCCTGAAATTTACAATTTAAATAAAGCCCCTGATGATCTTTCCATCCATGCAGAGAAAATGAGTGTAGTACCTCTGAGTCTGGAAAATAAGAATTTTGAAATATTAGTTAATTTTCCCTTTGGGGCCCCGCCCTGGCCCCAGCGGTTGGGGTAGGAATCTCAATTTTACAATTTGAAACCATCTTCCTCCAAGGATAATTCTCACTAAGTAAAAATAATTTCCTACAGAAAGTTGTCAAAATATACCCAAAAGTGTTATTTCCCTATATAAACTATAATAAACTTTACCCCCTCCCCCAAGGGAGAACAGATAGCTCGGGGGTCCTGAAATTTACGATGATCTTTCTTTTTTATGCAATAAAATTGAATGTAGTACCTCCGAGTCTGGAAATAAAGATTTTTGAAATATTGGGTTAATTTTCCATTTGGGGCCCGGTCTGGCCCCAGCGGTTGGAGTAGGAATACCAATTTTACAATTTTGTAGCCTCATCTACCACGGATGATTCTGACTAAGTTTAAAAAAAAATCCATCAACTGGTTCTTGAGAAGAAGTTGACGCACGACGACGGACGGAAAGCGATTAGAATAGGTCATTTGAGCAAAGCTCCGGCTGGGACAAAGTGTCTCACACAAACCTAACAAAATGTCTCTAATTGCGGAAGTATGGGTTTAGTGCTTTAAACCCTCTAACTACAGGTAAAATAATTAAAATTAACGTGTATGCTTCAGCCTTGTACAACTGTGAACTTTGGAATCTAACAAACACAGAAATATTAATATTAGAGAGAGCGCAACACTTTATTGTCAAATCCATTCAGGGTTTCGCAACCCGAACAAGAACCGATATGTGTACTGGCCTCCTGGGTTGGACAAGTATGGAAGGATATATAGATACTAAAAAGTTATTGTTTTTCGGTAGGATATGCAGATTGACACTCTCGTCTCGTATACTATTTACAATACTTTTTATTGTGAATCTGGATACAGAAAATAATGTAAGGTATGGTTTTGCGTATGATATGCTAAGGATTCTAAGAAAATATAATTTATATGACCGGTTCAAAGGTATATAAATGAGGGATGGTTTCTCTTAAAACACGTTGGAAAATGCAGGGCATTGATATGAAGAAAAAGTCTGACCTCTCTAGGTTTGTTTTAATACATGACAAGTTAGTTCCACAGCTGTGTGGAAAATATGTAAAAAGTTCCCAGGAAATAGAGAAGCTGTTTATTACATAATGAAACTAATTGTTACCATGGTGGTTGGCTCATAATGAATTATGTCATAAATGTTCATAAATGTGGTCAGTTTTATGAAGATTTTGCCATCCACATAGTTCTGCAGTGTAGTTCTACTGACGAATTAAGGTGTAATATCATTAATATTAGCGATATATTGTTCAGTGTATATTTGCACGACTTAAATGAAAGTCAATTATTTCATGTTCTGATCGGGGAAAATTTTCTTACAATGTGTTTAACTCGGACCAAGAAGAGTTCCGCATGACGTCTGTTTAATTATTTTTTCGAATAATAATATCATATTACAAATGACACATTCACTATATATCTATGCTGATTATTGTCAAATAATCAAAAGGCCCCGATACTGCTAGCTTAAATTATATGTTTATTGTAATACATATGTATACTACTTTTGATAATTGATGATTGTATTGTGATGCTCTATCATAATAGTCTTCATTCTGGAGGAAATTAAGCAGTATATAGTTGTATGTACACATTAAAATAACGATACCTTTGTAATCTTTCAATGTCCATGTATGTATATATGTTGATTAATTCTTATATGTTACTATTCTGTTGATGTAATCTTCACTTTAATATAGGGAATAATATTAATAACATCATATGTCAATCCGGAAAGATTGAACAAGAGGCCCTGTATCGCTCACCTCGATATATAAGCAATCATTGAAAAATGTTCTCGGTAAATATAATTTTACAAGACAACTTGATCTTTCCTGAAAGAGGAATTTAAATATTTTTCTCTGGTTACCTCGTTGGAGGTCAAGGGTCATGCCTTTGATGCCACTCTTCGTTATTTGGAAGACAATATACTAGATTTGGCATTTGTGCCAGGCAAGCCAAAAATAAGATTTAATTTATCAATTCCGAAAATTGTTGAAACCCGTTGTTCATAAGATTTTTGCTGTAAATGTCCAAATAACTAGTTCTTGGGATTGAGAAAAGAATATACCTTCTGTTACCCACTGTATGTTGTAAGAGGCAATATTCCGTCTTTTTGTATTGCAGAGTTATCTTCTCTTGTGAGCAGGTATTGATTGTTTCGTCATTGGTTTGCGAGAGGAACGTCATGAATTTTCGAGAAAACGCCTTAATTTTCTCACACAAACCAATGACGTAACAATCAATACCTGCTTCAAAGAGAAGATAACTCTGCAATACGCAAAGATGGAATAGGAACACCCTGCAAGACTGGGGATTTGCTTTTATGCCCTCTTCTTGGGGACACAGATGTGACCAAAATAATTATCTTCATAATTTCCCTCAACTGCTCAACAATCAATTTTGTTTACAAGCACCTTCCTTGGCAATAGCTCACTCTTGGACTAAATGTTTAACATTTAACACAGGCGAGGAAAGCAATGGGTTCTGTCCACAGGCCGTAAAATATCAAAGTTCTTAAAAATTGAAGTCGTTTCGCTGCTAAACGTTCAGCATTTCTGTAATCAAGTATTTCGGACGGTGATGTAGCACTATGAAGTTAGCACAAGATATTCACTATCATAATGAGACAAATGCTCCAACATACCCTCTAGGATGCTCAACTTTTTAAACGGATAATAGGTCTTATCGGTCATCAATCAGATTTAAATGTAGAGCGCGAAAGTGAGCGTAACCCCTGGTGGACCCTAACGCGATACGTAGAGAATGTAGGTTATGATTAGATTGATCGGTCATCATTGCAAATCTAAATCTATATAAAGTTCTGGCTACATTAATTACAAACCGGTCTTCAAAAAATCCATTTTGCTGTACCCATGCAAGTATATGCATCAATTATCCGATTCGACCAAAACAAACTTGTCACAGATCGGGACAGAGTTTGACCTTTGATTTTGGATCGGTTTGGCCCTCAGGACTTTTATCCATTTCGTGGAAATTAATTTCCTTTTTAAAGCACTAGTGACCTTGGTTCTTTTTAACCTAGATGGCAACACCGAACAGGATTTCAGTAAGAAAGCATTTATCGGCCAAAGAGAACTTAAGTGGCATATAAAGTTTTCTACATAGCACGTGGCCCTGACCATAGCATACGAAGAGGTGTACAACGCTCGAACTTGACTAGCCCACACGAGTTCTTCCTTGCAGAATAAATGAGTTTGAACACTTGATAATTTATGGAGACTGGTCGTTGCAAGTTTTTTTTAACCCTATTCCAAACTTGCAAGAAACTATCAAATCTTTCATATTTGGCAACGGTTGCCTTAAAAAGAGGTCAATGATTCACACGAGGCAGACAACTTTCCAAATATGGTCATTAGTACAGTTGGGATTTTAAAGCTAGTTGTCCATTGTATCCGATGTTGTCGACACAATATTGGATCCGAAACCAACAGCTTTTGACGACACTACGGTTCAAGTTGTGTTTACATAGGTCCTTTACATAAACTTTTCAGCATTCCATCCAATACAGCTGGTATTGTCAAACCACAGTCTGTTGTTTTTTTAAATTCAAACAAAATATCCCTGAAGAATGCTGTCGCCCACCTTTGACTTGCTGGTATGTCGATTCTTTTCTCCATTCTCTTCTACAACAAGGACATGTGCAAGGAGATCAAACAGTTTCAATTTGATCTTTGAATTATTTGTTCCTTACTAGATTTTCCTTTCCATTTCAAATTCAAGCATGCACCTTAACTACAGGCAGAAATAGCAGCAACAAACTTTACATGCCATACCATATAAGATTAAAGATGGCTTTGTGCTACACTTGCCATGCAAAACCAAGTATGGCCGAATAGCGGTCAGTGCTTCCAATAAATTACAAATTGAAACATGCATTTTAAGTTTCATTGCAGTCCCTAACGTATTGTTCAACAACTTTAAAGGATGGCAGCAAAAATTATTATATGCAAATGAAAAGCCAAGTTGACGATACCAGACTTGGACAAGTATACTACATCGGATATTATTTCCAAATTGGCATTCCATTCCCAGTTCACCCAAGGTAGTTCCTATGGAGAGAGTTATCTCCCCTTGACAAACTATTTATTGGCGAATGGCAATACTACATCAGTCTATTGAAGGCAAAGAGTGTGTTCCAAGTTATTAGACTTGCTATCTATCGCAATTGTTTGCAGTGTAGCAACATCAATTGAATTTAACGTAAAGCGTACTTTGATCAGTACTTGTTCGTCATTGGCAATAAAACAAACATTAATGGAGTAACTACACGAATTCTCTTGTTAATTATTTGAGAATTTAATCAAGATTTAATAGCAAAACATATTTAAAAAGCTTAGGATTCTTACCTGGCATGCTAACAACCAGACATTCATGGTACGGGTCAGTCAAACTAATGGATAGTTTCGATAGAAATGATAGACTTTCAACTCCTCTCAAGAATAAACATGCATGCTAATTTAGAAGACATGTATTCATTAAATTCCTGCGAATTATCTTTTATAAAGGAAACTTTTCCAATAAATTGACATAAATAACCAATAATTTTCATGCAAAATGAATTTTGAATAAACAAGATAATTATGGTCGACTATTCAGACTAACCAATACAATATATATATAGAAGGTAGCACATATTTTCAACAACTGGGAAATATTCATCTTTGTTGAATACATGTTCAATCAAAAAAAGCGGTGTACAAAACAAAAGTCTGTGTGAAAATTAAAAATGTCAAGTCCCTAGGTGGTTACAAATAATGCAGTAATATGTTTATCTTCAGTTGATGGCCCACCAGTCCTACAGAAACTAATTGGATGCTTTTTCAATGATGACCATTAAATAGTATTAGCCATTCATTGGACGGACAAAGCTTTGCTACAGCCATACACATTCTTCTACACAGTTCATTATAAATTGTTAAATAGTTTTGACAACTACATTTTGATGTCTTTGATGTCACATTCTGATGATGAGATCCAAACTATTCATTGATCAAAGGCCCACCCGAAATTGTATCCATTACAAGTCAAAACAAGGCATAATAATCCTATGTGAAGGCAATTTATTATAAAATGATCTCCCATGTAATGAAGAGGCCCAAGGAATGAAGTGATTCAGATCAGTGTCAAATGGCTTTGGCACAAATCTGTAAAGATGATGGTGGTTGCAATTTTAAAATGCTACAACTATAAATGTAGGAAATAAATAAATGCAGGCAGTAAATATGTGTGGGGCAAAATTACCATCCTTCATACAAATAAAATGCCCTTCCATATGGCTGATACATTTCTTAATCTCATCGGATGCAGCCAAATCAAATTATACAGATGTCCATTTAAGCTTGGTCACAAATCACAACTATCAGCATTTTTTAATCTTTTTAATTTTTCTTACTAGACTTGGAATACTGATATCTTGATTTGCTGCATCATACATGACTGGTTCAACGGCCATTAGAGTTAAGATTTCAAGCTGAGGGTTATACTATAGTGATTTCTTCATGATCCAATCTGATGAAAATGCATTTAATATCAAACTTGCACGCCCATCAAATTAATGTCAAAATGGGTTTGCACAGAGGAATACTTTCACAATGCCATACAAGAGTTCATTAGCACAAGTCCCAACTCCTCCAATGGCTTGACTTGTGAAAAGTGGGGTGTACAGCTCCATAAAATGTTTCCAGAACGAATAAATATATTAATCTTGAAGCACTATCTATGCAGCACATAGTACATCAAGACAAATTTGGTACTAGAAAATACATGTATTCGAACAACAAGTAATTGATCTATCACAACTAATTTGTGTTCCAAATGAACACTGATCCCGTCCCTGCTTTCTTTCCTTTTGGTTATACAAGGTTGATGAATGAGTTCCATCAAATGCAATCTTCTTTCTCGATAAAATTGGAAATGCAATCACGATTGTATGTTACAATGCAGATTTGTAAACCATGATTAGTATCTCGCCCGATACAGAAATGCAATCATCATGATACAGTACCTTTAACAAATGTCATATAAAAACATATGCAAAGATGCATCAGTGAAAAAGTATCCAGAAACCAAAAATGGTATGCTGTGCCCACCAGCTAGCTTTCATTCCAAAATGTCATCCAGTATGAGATGGGAGTTTATTTAATTACACACTGAAAATTTCAGGGGAATGCCCTCTCCATATCCAGGAGCCAAGAGCTGCCACTTCAGGCTTTGACGAGGCTTGGGAAATCTGTCTCGTCGTCAAATTTGGGTGCGGATTCCCGAGGGCCACCACCCCCTCTTCTCTCTCCACGTCCCATTCCACGATCGCCACGACTTCCACGTCCACCCCTTGGCCTCCTTCCCCCGCGACCCCTCCGTGGGGAGTCGTTGAAGGTAATACGGATATCCGTCACTACCTGCTTTGCTCTGTGTTCATCCTCCTGTCAAAGAAAGGCATTTAAATAATCATACTTGGACAAGTACTAGTAGTTGATAAATAAATACGTTTGTTTTCCTGGACAAAAAACCTATTGCATTATTGGCATTTTTCAAAGATTAAATTTGCATTAGGCCAAACAAATTTATGTCTGTTTAGGGTTCCCGACCCTCCTAGCTTTTTACCCCCCGACCCAAAACTTTTTGATGAAAAAATAAATTAACTCTTAGGCTGCTACGCGCCCCAACAGTGGTTTCAAAAAGTCTGGCCGTCGGTGCTACGCATGACAATAGTGGCACTCGATCTGTAGGTTTTTGATCAGTAAACAGGAAGTGTGAAAGCGGACTGTTGCTAAACTGGTTGTTTTGTCATTACTTTCGATATTCCCGGCAATGTACCCTAGTAATAACCAAAGTGTGCGAGAGATTTTCAAATCGGAAAAAATGTCATAAAAATGGCGGACGTGTAGATTGAAGTGATTACTATGATGGTTAACATTTTTTCTCCAGCGTCACCTACATGATAATAAAGGTTTTAAAGGGTTTGACATGGTTGATGTGGAAATACTTCAGTGTAACATAATATGTAACTTTCCAATGAACGGCTTTGTGCCCTACGCAAACATGAATATATCACCGGACCGAGGAGCACATGTCGTCTGCAGGTGAAGCCGAATTGAACATTGACATCGATACGTTTTGAGCCGATTGATTTCTTCAAACTATTTATCGATGATTTAATCATAAACTAGACCGTAGCTAAGATATATCTATATGCCGACTGTGACAATAAATATATTGAATGACGACCTGAAACCTGTAGCAAATCGCATGCAATTCTTGATGAAATACCCGACCTTTTTACCTGAGAATCTCGTGTAAATATACAGCGTCTTATGTCATAAATGAAGTTTATAATCTCTGCTATCATTTTCCAATCACATTTGCTGACAAAAACAATTTTAAAATGATCTTTCTGGTCCTTAAATCTGATTAATTAAAAGTTTCACCTTTTCCAACCTTTATTATCACCTGTACAGGTAAATACTGAAGCAACTTTAGAATCAAAAACGTTAATATAAACTAGAGACAATAACGAACAATTTTCCTGGAACTTTTATTCACATATAACAAATATTTTTCAAGTTATGCGCATTTGAAAAATTAAGTTAATTAATTCATATTTCAATAATTAATTCAGCAGTGGCGTCCCTTTACATAGAAATCAATGTAGCAGCCTAAGAGTTAAAAAAACACACCGATTTTTGAATATTAGAAGGTTCCTTGCCTTTCAAAATGGCTTCTAGCTCAGTGTTGGCGCTAAATGTCAGCATATGGAGCACAATTTGTCTCAAAATGAACCTTGTTTATATAATTCTTCGTTTTACCTACAATACAATGACCACCTGGTACACAAAAATATACAAAAAATCAATAAAAAAAATTTGACCTACCTACCCTTGTTTTTTCCCCCATGCAACCCTAAACAGACTTTTTTGGTTGGTTTCATGAAGAACAATGTTAACTTGTTATCTAGACTGTTCCCAGGTAATGGCACTATTTACTAGTAGTAACTAGAGCAACATGAAACAAACATGTTCAGCTGAATTTGAACACAAGTAATGACAGCTTTATCTGGACAATGACTGCACAACATTTCTTTTAAAGATGAAAGTAGAAGCATTTTTACCCAAACTTTGGAATGCAAACATACTGCGGCAGGTAACAACCAAATGGTCAGATATTCACTATTAAGTCTCACCTCTTCATATTCATCGTCGTCCTCCTCATCATCATCTTCAACTTGCTTCTTGTAAGCCGTTCCCTTCTTCCACTGGGAGTTGTCGCATCCTTCTCCGGCTTTGCGGATGTTGAATGTGGATTTCGCACGGGTTTTTTCCTGCAGGGCCTTCCATTCAGCCAACGTTAACTGCTTGGAGGCTTCGTCCTCAACAGGAGCCTCTGTGGATTCTGTGCTCTCACTGCATTACATTACAGAACATTACAAGTTACCATCTTCCAAGTTTGTATGATACATAAACATAGTCATTCAGTTTCACTCTATCAATTGTTTTACCAAGTAAGAAAGCTATTTTCTCGATTTGACTACAATCAGGGGAACATCCCGATAGAATACAAATATTTTCGACAACAATTACAATCCTCAAATATCGGCTTACAACATTAAAATTTCAGTTTAAGACCTGCTCTTATGTAGCCCTCCTCCCACTTTTGGTTGCATTTCACTCATATCCAGACATCATCGAGACATACCTTCACAAATAGCCGACATGATTAACAACAGAAGACCTCAAGACTAGTGATGGGTCAATGTAATGAAAAACATTTTCTGATTACCATAAAGATCACTGGTTAAACCTAAATGATACAGCGACTTATGAATTGTTTATTTAGTACTTCCAGTACCTTTCATTAAATTCATTTATTTTGCACCAACATGGGTATCTCTGTCTGTGAGGTAGAAATAGAGGCTATAAAACAACATTTAACTAGCACACTAAAATATATACATGTTAACCTTTTTAAAACAACTATCAACATGTATGTAGGATATGTATATCTAACAAATAACCAGATTATTGCACATGTTTGGCTACCAATGACCGATACGCATTTTCAACCAGTTCCATATCTAATTAAGACTGGTAATTGCTTCGACATATCAATACTTACTTTGGATCATGGTTTTCAACATTTTCAGTAGGGTTCCATTCCTTGGTCTCTTCCGTTGTGGGTTCCTTTGTCTGTTCCCTGAAAATGCCCAAATGCATTACAACAAAAGTTCTAAAATTTTAACATGGCAATTGATGAAGACCTACCAACCATTTTCTTCAAAGATTTTTTTTGTATAAGTTATTGCCTCCATCTCACTTCATCGATATTAAAACTTGATGTGTCATAGACAACACAACTGAAAAGTGGCCAATCAGCAAAGCCTTTCTATAGAAAACTGTTGATAAATAGGCATTTTGTTAAAAAGATTATCATTTTGCAGCAAGTTAACAGAACCCAAATCAAAATTTAAAAAATATATCTCTATGCATGGAAATTTAATATTTATCAAGTCTGGTGTCGTTAATTTTCCGCAATTATCATATTTTATCAAGTTCTTATGTGTTAACATTTGGATTTATATTATAGGCATCGGTAAGACCTGCAAAACTTTCAGATTCAACAATAGTAATCACAACTCCGATAACCATAGCAGTGGTTTTCGTGTGAGCACATGCATTTTTTAAAAGCGATTTCCGAGTTACTAACATGTAATAAATAGTCTGACTACATGGTTTGCAATTGCTATTTTTAGTTTTTGTGTTCAATAAATGAGATGATCATACAGGAGTTAGTTCTCTGGCCAGTCCAAAACACACATATAATGACAAAAACTGGGGAATAACAGTAGAAGTGGGTGGAGGCAGTAACAGTGTGTAAAGTTAGCAGTAGCCAGGCTACAAAAAGTGATCGGTTATTTTATTTTCAAACATTTAAAAATACTATATGTTAGTAGTGCCAGAATAACGCATGTCAAATTTGAAACTGAACATGAATCAATGAGGAGGATATGCTTAATTGGAGGCATGCCTAGCCAAGATATCAAACCAATATATTGCTCAATGCAATGAAGCATTACTGTAGAGACTTATAGCAAAAATTAATTATCGAGGTTCAATTCTCCACTGAAAGTATTTAGCTGTCATTGCAGTTATTTGGATTTCCCCCCAATAAATCCAATAACATTTGATCATTTTATTATTATGTTTTCCAATAACATTTTATCATTTTTCAAGATCATTTAAATAAACACTTTATGGAGCCAACCGCATGCAGCTTAAAAAGCATCCCAAAATGACAATAGGTGTCTGGGTCAATACAGCCTCACCAACAAACCACAGCTCGACTTACTCCAGGTCGTCCTTAAAGGTACCCCAGTTATGTGATCCACTGCCCTCTCGCTTCTCTGTAGCCTTCACACCACTGCTAAAGCAAGACGGTAAACAAAAATTTATTTGCATTCCCTACTTTCTTCAACAAAACCTTTGGAGATGACAGCCACCAGACGTCTGCAAGTCCAAAGCAGCTTTAAAATTGACTGCACAAAATACTTTTACATATCCAGTAACTACATATTTTTCTCAACTGCAATGTAAATATTTTGTTACTTTTTTTCTAGGTAAATTTATGCTTTACAACAAGACAGACATCAACACATCAAAAAGAATTTCTCGACTTCTTGAATTCAAAGCTATCGTAAGAAATGGCACTGCAATAATACTTATTACACAACAGGGCTTTCAGTAGATCTTTGACAGTACTGTAAACCTCCAGTGAATTTGAATCTGCTGGAAAGTTAGACAACATTTTTTTTTCACCTAGCGATAGATCCACGGATAATAATTTGTTAACTCATTCACCCCTGAAATTTCATAATGAACTATTCCAACCTTTGAATTGGAGGAGTTCAAATGTGTCTTCAGGGGTGAATGAGTTAACCGCTTTGACACAACCTACGTACTAGCTTGTGATTAAGCGGTATACAAGAACCTCAAATTATCATCATTATTATGATCAACCTCTGCTTATCCATGTTACATTTTGAATTGTTCAAACACAAAATTTGAGTACTGAAAGTAACAAATTTGTCCATCAGCGATGAAATAATAGCCTGACAAAACTTACTCGAACTCCTAAATTTTCGCATCAAACATAATAAGGGGTAACAGGTTGTATTTGTGACACTACTGCATTTACAACTTCACTATATAATCAATATAATAATATCAATTGCTGATTCTACAGATTCGTAAATACAATTTAATGGGCCATCACTGTCCTCGTATCAACAATTTGACTATTTGGTGTGAATTCGAATAAAACCTTGCGGCTATCATTTCACATACCGGTTCATTCTGACTGAAGGTTAAAAGTATGTTTTCAACTCCTTAAAATTAGCTTGGACTATTGGGTTTGGAAGTACAGGTCTTTTTAAACATGCATTTTGACACTTTTTGTGTTAAAAAAACATGACATCTGCATAATGAAATTGCCATTTTCCAAAGGTCAACTTTAGGCCCTTAAGAAAAGACTACAAACCAAAATAGGCTTTTTATTTCAAACTTTTTTTTTGCATATTCCTATTATGTAAATGTATAACCAAGCAAGCCAATGTCTCGAGACCTATTTTAAACAAAACTAAAGCTATCACTGCTACTAACGTTCTATCACTGCCACTGTGTCGTTCGAATTCCCGTTTGCGGTCCCCACGGTCGCTTCTCTCGCCACCGAAGCCGCCGCCACCACTTCCACCTCGGGAGCCACCCCTTCCTCCTCGGCTACCTCTCATGCCGCCACGCCCTCGGCCGCCAAAGCCACCTCGACCACCACCGAAACCACTGTCGGGTCGGTTGAAGCCACCACCTTCCGACCTCTGGAAGCCACCGTCATTCCTTAACAGAACAGAAATAAATATCCTTACAAAACTTTATTCATAGAAACATGGGTAAAATAATTTTAAGTACAGCATTTAATATGACACTTATTTTTACTATTTTAACATGATATAGCAGTTTGTTTGAAATCGTTTTTTCATCAATTCCAAAAAAACTGATGGAGTGGATAGATTTTTAAGTAAATCTTTACATTGAGATAAATGGTAACATGAGATAGCAGTAAGGAGGGCTGTAATGATTCCTAGGTTACTGGCCTATTTAGTAATCACTATTATACAATATCTGTTATTTAAGACATATACAAGCCAAGCCGTTCAGATTGATACGTCTCGCCCTGCTTTGACCATCAATGCACATGTCAAGAGAAACCAAGTTACAACGCAAACCAATAATGTTGATTGCGATGCTGACATATGGACCATGAAAGGAAGGCTGCATCCAGCATTGATGCATGGGTTGAGATGTACTACCCAAGATGCATCTATGGTCCAAGTTTGGTTGGTCTAGCACTCATCCTTTTACTGAACTTTGGTCAACAAGGGGCTTTAAGACATCAATTATACATGGTCTAGTGGTCAACATTCACAAAAAACAGCAGCATATTTTGATTTTTTTTTGTGTATTTCAAAGTTTTCTTAAACTTTCAAGATGCACATTAAATAGTGTCGCTGTGATCTTAAAAATCTATAACACAAAAATAGGCCTATGGCCGAACTGTTGAATTAAAATAGTGTATAGAATTAATAAACATATTCAATATTTCAATTATAAATTCATCTGCCTGTCTTTAGTGTTTTTGAGTAAATTTATGATTTCCTGGTACTCCATCAGGGTAAGGTTTATAGCTGAATTGAAGTTAATTCTCATTAAATCTTCAAGGTGTTTGGTAGTTAAAGAAGGCCGCAGAAAGGAACAAAGGTCGTTCATTAAACTGAATGACCTCTCTACAATTGAAATCGGATGATCAGACTTCTCAACAGGGTCAATAGTATGGGCCGATTCCGACAAGGTTTGCTCTGTCGAATCATCGGCGTCGCCAAGGTCAAATGTCTTTGTATTAGTAACCGAAGCAGGCACATTTTTTGTTTGAAAAAAGCCAAGCAAACTCTTCTGTGAACTGTTGGACTCCTTTTTCAATTTCTTAACGTAGTATTTACCATTATGCGTCATGGTTTTTTATGATTTGATTTTTAACATCCAGGTAGTTAATTTTGAAACGAGCCGAAATCATTACATTAGACGACTAACCATTGGCTGTAAATAAATTTTTATCCAATCAGAATCCAGCTATTAATGAGAGCAAATGACTCATATGACGCAGACTAAAGCTGAAAAAAACGAACAAAACTGGGGGTATGGGTGTCAGAAAAGTTGCGATTGTTAAAGCCTCCGAAACAGAAAGTACATTCGCAAATGCAAGCGTACATTTCATTCATTTGTTATGTGAATTTTGTCTTTCATTTGTGATTTTTTTTCGCAGCATTGTGAAAAAATGTTTTTTTCAAATTGTGAAGTACCGAAGATCGGCCTCTAATCTAGTAGGTGGTACGGCGCCGCGATACCATCGTGAGAAAAGCATCACATTGGTCTCGCTTCCGCTACTTTGTGGCGGCAAGACAAACATTTAAGTATATCGTCAGTCTTGGGATTTTAGACTCCTCAATATACACATTTTGTCTACGAGATATGCGACTTTTTGTAGACCTGATTTTGTCCAATAAACCCTTTCCAATGTATTTATTAATTTAAAAGCTTGAAATAGTTCAAGGAAAGTCTGTGTAATAATAACAGAAAAGTAATTGTATAGGACAATTCCCCTCATTTCTGTAATTATTGTTGAATCATACACACAATAAAACAAAAAATTCTATTTAACCGTAAATGATTCCAGACTTGGTCTAGTTTTTTAGGATGATAGTGTTTTGGTTCAAGTTCAAACACTGCACACTTATCTGTTAAATTATCTTGGCCCAAGTCTTTTGCATTCCGAAAATGCAGCGACGTTCAAGCAGATATAAACAAAAGTATATATATAGGGTGTTCATCAGGTTGTACAACAGATTCTACATCTGTTTTGAAGGGGAACTGAATTCAACATAATCTGATGCCTTTAGCTAGTTACAAGCTTGTCTAGCACATTGATTATGATGTTCAAAAGATAGATATTTAAGTTCAATTCTACCATCCCTGGGGTATTAAACAAGAAACATTTTAGCTTGTATATTCCATCAATTTTTACCACAGCTTCCATCAAAGTTATCAAGTTATTCATGCCACATCGATGATGCACGTCATCTTAAATGGTCGGCCAATATACTTTTATTTTCTTGAAGAAAGATTGACAGTCATTTCTGAATGGACCAATTTTCTACATTTTCCTTCATCTTGGTTCCCAAATGACTGGAAGTAAATTTTTATTCATGTTTACTAGTCTTTTGCTGGTTGCAATTGATCTAATACCTGTTTTCATTAGTGACATTATCGTCTCGTCTTCTCGGCCGTCGGTCATCATCCCCTCGGGGTTCTCTCGGTTCTCGGTTTTGTCTTGCACTGCGAGGCGGGCGGTCCTGTCTTGACTGTGACTGATTGTTTGATTTGTCTTAAAAAGATAGAAATATAAAATTCAAATGACATGTACCAAATACAGTAACACTCGTCACTCAACCCCACAACAGTGTGATAATGATTTCTTAAAAAAATAAAGAAAGGGATAAATGATTAACAGACCCGCCACGGGACTTTACAGGCTAAATAGTAGAGTGTTTACCCTTTGTATGCCAAGTGCCTCTTGAGAAAATGTAATCAAGTAAACCATGCTCAATATGTTGCATGCATTTTACTCTAGACTTGTACAAGGAAATCACAGTCACACCAGTAAGACCATGCATTATAGTATATGACCCTTCCAACACAAAGAGACTTTTTTCTATTGCACAGATCATATGGACAAGAAATACGTAGAAGGTTCTGGAATGTCAATATTTGGGTCTTTATTTCTATAAACATGTGTATATCAATATCTTACATTATTTATGAACTTTTCATTATTATAATAAAATACCTTTTAGGGTTTATTAATGAAACAGTTTTTGACCTACTTTTGAGCACAACATGATTATAGTAGACCGAGGTAGTCATAGGTCAAATTACACAGATCATGATCCAGCATTAAACGTGCAGTACACTGGAGTTGTTTTAAAAAGCGAATGATTGTACAATAATCATAAATAATGTAATTTCACAATCACAGTCATATATCCGGTCGACAGGTCCCGACAAATTCACCAGATCTAGATCACCTGATTTCATTATCGAGCAACTTTTCAACATTGTTTCGTTAGCACTCACGGGTACAAAATTGCCATATAAACAATTATACCGAAACAAAGTAGAAGATACATAATGTTTGTTTGCAATAATGGTTCGTATGATATAACTCGGAGGACGTACAGTGACAAGTTCGTCCAGACACGTGGGTTTACTTGGCAGAACATGTCAAAGCACCATGTGGCCTTCAGCTCAAAGTGCTGCGCAATACACAAAATGCAAACGCATATTAAGCTAAATGTGTCATGCAATAATTTAATAGACTCATTGCCATCGTTACCTTCCTTTTTCAGAACAGTTTGTTCTGACTGTTTGTTCTTATTTTCAGGTTGCAAGACATTTTTCTTGGCCTGTTTGGCCTTCTTCGATTTCTGGCTGGTTTTGTCCTGAGTGTCCAGCTTCTTTTTCAGCTCTTCTTGCTGCTGGATGATATCAAATGGATCATCGTCGTCGTCTATGTTCAGAGCGAACTTATTAGTAACCTCTACGCCGTATTGGCTATCCATTGTTCCTCTGCTTGTAGAGGATGGCAATGGATTGTTACGGCCCTATTTCTTTAAGCTGGAGTCAATATGGCGTGTTTCTTCCTCGATACCAAGCATGCTCGGGAAATACCTTAACTCACGCTTAATTCGACGTATAAACTAGAGGTATTCCGAAAGGGAAGCTGGTAAGTGTTTCCATATTTAGTAAAGTTGGCGGGAATATCACCTTTGTTACATTGATTTTCACTGATAACATAAGTGAAATTATAAGTATTGCAATTGTTTAATAAATATGCATTATGAGAAATATAACATTGTTGCAATGCTTCCTTTTATAACCCGTAAAAGCAATGTAAAGCTGCGAAGTGTAAACATTGCAATCCCAGAATTCAATAGTTTATTAGAAAATGTGTACGGGAATCACCCCCTGGGTTTATTTATAGCAACAAAGGAACTACTGGTCCGTTACAGGTATGGGCATGATAACGGGTTTATTCATGAAACGTGGTTAAATACCATTTCACAAGGGAAGAGGAAAGCACAAGAGACAGTCACACCATGTATTCGTGGAACTATAAAGACGAAAACAAAAACATTCCCTATAGCACGTCCCCAACAACGTTCGGGAGGAGTTCCCCAGACGGAGATTCAACGGACAGCGAAGAATATGAGGGACCCCAGGACCCAAACGGACGCCGTGGACGGCCCCGGGCCGACGCTATCACCAAGCTGATATTCAAGGGAGCCGTGTCTATGAGCAGTATACGTTGCGAGACATGCAATCGGGTCTTCCCACGTGAGAAATCTCTGCAAGCTCACATGAGAACTCATACAGGTAAACTTGCCAGGTGTTAATTTCACCACCAGCAACATACTCTTCACCGTTACATGTAAATCCATCACTTTTCAGCAGATCAAAGGGAAAGTAAAGTTTAAAGAGATCATCATGTACAGACCACTAGAAGGGATTTAAATCCAATGTGCGTGTTTGGGGTACCTGGTTTTTAACTCGCAAAATATTTTCAACAGACCCTTTATGAAATATTGAGAGATATCATCGCGTGTTCTTTAAATTTTGAAATGTATATATACATGCTATGTTTATATTATTGAATTGGACATTTAATCCAGTATCAATATGATGTAAGTTTGTAGTAGTCCTACTTCGTAGTACACAACTGACTGTTGTTCGACTCGTTTCGGAATTTTCCCGAGGTCTTTGCCAGGTTTTAGGGATCAAACTTGCAATAAGCTAAACTTGTTAATAAACAACAGTACCTGTCAACAGTGTATAACATAGACATGTTATGAGCTGATACATTATTAATGCTGATAGCATGCTTACACACGTTTGTGTACATTATTAAAAGATTTTTTTTCTTTGCGGCTTGAAGAATTTCAATGAAAAACGACTAAGTCATTTTACGTGAATAGACTGTAAAAATCGATTTGTTTTCACATAGTAACGCTTAAATAGAAATTAATTGTCATGGGTGTCTTAGTTTGTCTCGAATTTTCCAGTTAAGATAAGTTTTCGTAACTCAGGAAAGTTACGTCATTGGCCTTCGCTTATTTTAACAAGCATTAATTTCTTCAAATTTTAGCCAAAAATGTTTTCCACTTGGACTTAATTTGTCATATCAGTATATATCTGTAAAGTTGTTAATTTGATTTAGGAAGAAATAGAGCAGTAGACTGTGAAGTAAACAGTTCATATTTTTTCAGGTTCATCAAATTAAATAGCATGTTTATATAAGACTCTAATCGGTATTGTTTTCTATCTATCTACATGTATATTATATATTGGTTTACAATCTGGTGGAGATTTAAATCTCTCCCTGTATTAAATATTTAAAATTTAAAGTCCACACCAGGAAAGGGAAACACTTTCTATTGTGGGATCAATAAACAAATTGATTTCTCAGTTAAAGGTCCCGAGATATCGTACGGTTACTTTACAAAGACATGCCATGTATAGCTTTATAAACACATCTTGAACACTGTCTATCGGTATTTAATTCATCTATTACCTTCTAATCGTTGTGTATTGAAAATAACGTTGTCAAACATGTATTATACTATCGTTCAATATGTGTTAATAATATAATTGTCGGTCTCGTTAATGGGTTTTTTTATATTGTTATATTATATTAATCTGTTAGATTTTGTATTTTCTCTCGTAATATCTTTAATTTAAAACTGTGGCTTAAGAATAGGTATTATTATTTATTGAAATTAAGTCTCAAATATATTGAAGACGGAAAAGACCTGGCTAGACGGTAGCCATTACGGTATATAACTACAGTTGTGTATACACATTCCCATGCTTTACCGCCACACCACACACACACTAAAGCCCCAACGTTCACCACGTGTTCGTGGGGCCTTTTAGCGACCATCATAGATTTAAATGTTACTTAGGTTACCATGGGGACAATCTATTGATTATTGTAAACAAATAGAGCATCAACTTTAAATGCCTGGCACTAACAAAGGGGGAGAGGGTTCCTGTCCAGGCGTGCCTGGTTACTAGCGCCCCGTGTTTATTGTTTACAGACAGGTCCATGCGGAACCCGTTACACGAGTCGGTTACCTGTAAATCTCACATTCCCTACCTGTACAAACTGTATTTACCTGTGGCAAAGCTTTGTACACCCGCCGACCTATATAGCTTCCAATACCTGTGTGTTGTACATGGTACAATATACACGTTTACCGTTAGATCGAGACCAATGGCCGCAATGTCCCGTTGTATCGAGACATTTAAATGATTCCAAAAATAGAGCAAATTCAACACGACATACACTTGATAGAGATGGTGTCTGTTTGAAAAAAAAAAGATAATTTTCAAACAAATTTCCCAAACACACATGTAATTTCATAGTCATTCCATGTACATCTTTGGAATATTTCTCGTGTCGCCGAGGACACTCCTACAATATTTTACTGCTCCGAGGCAGATACGTTTTAATATATTTCTATTTTTGTGCATGTTCCTTCCGTTGTCGAATTACATTTATGTAAATTTCAAAACCCGATTAATTTAGTGACAAGTCAAGTCATCACTTGCAGCACATTTAAAACGAAAAATTATCATTTTGTTAATCTGAGCTTTGACTATGTTGTGTCTCGGTGATTGAACAGGCCATTAGTAATAAGGATATGTATATATACCCTGCAGTGTATAAGATTGGGCCGACACTTCAATATAGGGACATTAAAATAGCTCATTAAAAAAGTTAAGTCTAAATCCGGATCTTCTTATTTGTTAAAAAAAATGTATCAGTCGTGTTGGGACTGTATATTTGTCGGTTGATTAGTGGTAGGGAACGTGTTCATTCAACCGAGAGGACAGTCATGTGTCCAACCTTGTAACGCCTTACAAAGTGATTTAGTTTGAGATCACAATATATACCTATCCCCCTAAAATTTACACAAAAGCACAATTGTAATGTGTAGCATCACATAGATGACTAAATACAAGTTTAAACTCTTATTTCGTCGAGTTATACGAATAATTGATTTTAACGGAGAGTTAATAAAATTGAATTATCACCAAAGAAAGTTGCAAATGCCCTCCTCCCCTCCCCAATCAGCTAAGGCCACGTACCAGGCGCTACGGTCATGATAACGCACAGACGGGCCCCGTTCTTGGAATAGTAAATCGTCAACTTTCCACGGCTTATTTGGGGGACTTGTCAACCACAATTACGTAAATCGTAATGTTGTCCGCGTTACTCATTTGGGATCCTGGTCTGGTAGTGGCGGATTCAGAAGCAAATCTGATGAGGGTAGTGGCATAAATTTCGTGAGGGAGGGGGCTCCAAATGGATAACTTTTCGAAATACATCATTTTATTTAATTAAAAAAAGGTATTATGCGGAATTGGGAGAGGTGTTCTGAAGCTACAAAATCGCCTCTAGATCCTCGTCTGTTTGGTTACGTCTCTGGGGAGGGATAGCCATGTTTTAGCAACACACTGGGTGCATTGTGTCTAAATGAAGACAAACACGCAGGGTGTATCGTATTTGTAAATACTAAACAGCATATATAGGTATACGTACTTATAAGATACGTATATATACACGAAATATACCAGGGTAGGTAAGGCATTGGGGACTCATAAGATGCCGATTGATCAACAAGTAGATTGTGTATACAATTCCCATGCCGAGAGCGAAGTAAACTACTAAAGCGAAATAGAAATCAGTCAGTCGGAGTCTTTTCAGAATCGTATCTATTACAATTCAAAAGACTTGGGCTGAACTGAAGCAGAACAAGTAACTGTAGGGTTCATACAATGACTGACTCTGAGAAGGAGTATTAGACGGGACAAGACATTTCGGGGCGCGTAACAAATAAATAACGGGGCAGTGTGTAAGCTGATATGTCAACAACACAAAGCAAATTAGTCATCTACCGATTCCGCGCCCTTTGTACAGGTGCTTTGTTTGATTCGAACGTGATATTCCCGGGAAGTGAGCGCCACATTTTTGCCATAATGTCGTCATTCGACCTCTAAATTCCTCTTTGCCGTTAGAGTTCGAGAGATTACGAAACACAAAAGGCCAAAAGGACCCGTCTGACTTAACCGCAAGCCGATGTCACGGTACGGTTTCCCGCGTGATTCATTTGCGACATATTCGGGGCATTTCTGATTAATTGTGCACTATAATGCGCGATTTCGTTTTAAATCAATGCAACAAATACGAAAGCATATCTTGTGATGGATACGTGCTAGATTAAATGGACTATGAAATTAACAATTAGCAAGTGACAAGACTTTTAAACTATTGAAAGAATTTAAAAGTCCGGTATTAAAGGTTAAAGGGAAACTTGCTTGTGATGTAATAATGCATGCCGAAGGATTGCTTGTATAAACGGTTTTAGAATGATGCTGGTTTTACACAGGTATATAAGAATTGGGTACACTTTTTAGGGAGGGAGGGAGGGGTGGGGGCGGATTGTTACCGTAATGGTACAGCAGTATGGTATGTTTGGACCTATCCTGATGTTTAGGGAGGGAGGGGGAGGGGGGGGTTGTTACCGTAATGGTACAGCAGTATGGTATGTTTGGACCTATCCTGATGTTTAGGGAGGGAGGGAGAGGGGGGCGGGTTGTTACCGTAACGGTACAGCAGTATGGGATGTGTGGACCTATCCTGATGTTTAGGGAGGGAGGGGGAGGGGGGGGTTGTTACCGTAATGGTACAGCAGTATGGTATGTTTGGACCTATCCTGATGTTTAGGGAGGGAGGGAGAGGGGGGCGGGTTGTTACCGTAACGGTACAGCAGTATGGTATGTTTGGACCTATCCTGATGTTTAGGGAAGTATTATAAGCAGTGCAACTGTGTTGCTAAAGTAATTATTTCCAGAAATTCTATGAGTCCAAATCCAAATTCTACCGGGACTCATATGTATCGCTGTATAAGTCGTTTTATTGGTTTAGATTCCATCAAAAGTGGGAAATTGGGGGGGGCGGGGNTAATACTAATTATACATGTAGTCTAAACGCATAAGGTCTTAACAACAAAAAATGAAACACACATGCGTTTTGCACACACATGCGTTTTGCACACAGGGGAGGCCGTCCTTAAATGACCATAGCTGTTTTAGATAGGACGTTAAACAATACTAAACCAAACGGCTTAATTCAACTAAAAAGTGTGATGTCAGCATAACAACTTCACCACTTTGTTTGATTTAGCGGTTTAGCGTCCTATGAACAGCCAAGGTCATTAAAGATGTGAACTTATGTTAAGATTTTGAGCGTGCATTCTATGTTTAATGTATCCAATAAGGCTAAGATACACAATACCAAGTTTTGATGCACAACATTTACGTCAATAGATTTTTATCAAGTTTAAAACAACACGTGTAGGCTGATATGTGACCTTGTGATCAATTATCTGTGCAGGCGAGAGACCATACCTGTGTGACTACCCTAGCTGTGGAAAGTCTTTCTGTCAGAGCGGACAGCTGAAGACACATCAGCGACTACACACGGGAGAAAAACCCTTCATCTGCTCTGCTAATGGTGAGTTTTCTACAGCTAACATTTCATCTGTTGTTCTTAGTCTGAGTTTTGTATGAGGTTTATTTCATCTGCTATGCTAAATGAAAGTTTTGTATATTTTATCTGCTATGCTAGATGTGATTTTTTTATGAGTTTCATTTCATTTGCTTTGCTAAATTTCATCTGCTTTGCTTAATGTGAGTTTCATTTCATCTGCTATGCTAAATGAGTTTTGTATGAGTATTTCATCAGCTATGCACATGCAAGTTTTATATGAGTTTTATTTCATCTACTATGCTAAATGTGAGTTTAACATGAATGATTTTTCCTCTTCTATGCTAAATGTGAGTTTGGTATGGGTTAATTTTATCTTTTATTAATGGTGAATAGTGAAATTTAAAAGGCAGATGTTATTCTCTGATCAGGTTAGATAAACAAAATATCAATCAATGTTGTCAGTTAACTGGAAATGTTGGTTTTCAGCTGGTTTTTTTATAATAATGATCTGTATGACCTGTTGTTTGTTACAGGCTGTGAGAGCCTATTTACCCATGCCAACAGACATTGTCAGGATCATGCATATGCTTCACTCAAACGAGTTAACCCACAAATAACCATCAATGGACTCCAGAAACTCATTCAGAATGAGTCAAACCCTGCAGTCCGAGATTGGCTCACAAGGTAACTATACATGTATAATCAATGAATTTATGTAAATACTCATGGACTTAGTTGTAAAATTGTCACTAATTCAGTTAAGATTTAAATGAAAGTTCAGTAGGGCCATATTGTAGATATCTATTACAATGTATTTTCAATTAAATTAAAAAACATATGTATCTAGGTAATTATTTAGAGATGGGTTCACTAGTTAGTTTAAAAGCCAGTGCATACAAACCACTTTAAATGACACACTTAATGAACTGACCTTAAACTACAGGTTGACCTTTAAATTTACTTTACACCATATAGTGTGTAGGGTATTTAAATGCTGTTAAGCTGTGGTAAAACTTACTGAAATGTTCTCTTTCCAGACAAATCAACTCCAAGGAGGAGCGCATATTTAACAGACAGAGACCAGGGAATGTGAAGCGTGTGAAAAGGTCGTCTCAGGAGGTCAACATCAAAACAGAACAGGATCTGCTACAAGATCCAGACGAGAACATCATGCCCCTCCAACAGCAACAGCAGGAAGAACAATTGATAGAAGAGCGTCTTTTGGAGTCAATGACCAGCCATCACCAACACCAACATCACAATCATCATCATCATCATCATCATCATCATCATCAGGAACAGCAGCCCCACCATGTGAACATGCTCCTCGACAGTCAGTGTAACATGCCCTTGAACAACAACCACTATATGATGCCTATGAACAATAACACGTGTGACATAAGCATGGACAATCATTATGACATGAGCATGAATAATCACTGCAACATCAGTATCCATAGTTACGAGGACCCTCAGCCAGTCGTACTGCCCCAGAACCAGCTGCAGCCTGTGGATTCGGACTACGACTATCACACGATTGACCCCTACCAGCCTGTCGACTACGACTACCTGCCACAGAAGGAGTCACGTGAAATGTCCCTCAGTGAGCAAACAGACAAGTGGATATCGGCACTTGCACTTGTGGAGTTGTCACATGGCATGGCGTGAATCATCGGCTCTAACAGGGTTCCGCTACAGGACTTAACCAACATGCCATAATTGACTGCTACAACACCTCACAGTACATGGAGATGTAGAAAGCCACAATAGACTGTTCTCATAGGACTTAATAACTATTGTTACTTTCCACATTTCACGGATTGTGAGAGATATTTGTAGCTACATGTTTTCCGTTAATGCAAACTCCATACTGCCACAAGATTGCCATGCGAGTGCAACCATTACTATTCTTGTGAGTGTCCACATGTTCATCAGCATTCTGATCAAAATGAAATGTCGATCAATTATGGTTTTTCCTTACATATTCAATACCTATATAAAATGTTTCCCTCCTGTTTATTTGAAGTAGTGGTTTTTCTACTGCTATTTAACATAGATCTGTTAAAATACTCGTATAGTATGTCTCATAACCCTTCTTGTCTGATTTCTTTATTACCTCCCTTGACTTAGTCTTCTCCATGAAGATAGAAAGCTTTACTTTACACATTTGTTGACCGTCCATCCTGTCCAGTCGTTCGGGCCTGGTACTCAGTCAATATCAGTCAATGTGTATCTCGCCCAACTATTTTGTATTCAGTATATACACTGCAATAAACGTCCATTTAGTTATAATGTATATATATCTTATTAGTATTCTAACACTACCATTCCATCTCATTTAGTACATTCCATCAAAAATTTGAATTTAATCAATATATATTGTTTATTTTTGTTAGACTTTTCATTCCATAATGAACAATACTTATCTTGCGTACAAAAATGAAATATTCTTTGAAATCAAAAGTTAATTTTACTGATGTTTATATATGTTATAGAAGTTGTGAGTGTTGAAAGATAAGATGGCACTGGTTGATAGTCCTCCCATGTGTGTTGCCAAATATCTCAAAAATAGTAGCAGTCAAGAGCATGTATGCTACACTTATCCACACATGCAGGACTTGTGCCCTGTAAAGCCAGACTAGAGCTGCCATGTGCTATACATATACTTACTATATATACATAGCAACCAGTTCATGTTGCCATGAGGACAGAGCTTTTGTATGACCTTCACATGACCTGTGTCTTTGTGAAGGCAACAAGCTTGTTATGTTTGACGAATGTTTGGAGATTTTATGAACTACAATTACTTATTAAATTGTTTGTGAACAGTTTCCTGTGATTACTCAAGTCAATGACCTTGACCTTGTTACGAGTTTCCAGGTTTAGCTGTACAATTGAACACGGGTCTGTATAGCAGCTCCAATCAGTGTCAGACATGTTGATTGTAGTTGTAGAAATAGTATCAATCAGAAGGATATATTTCCACAGCCATTTTAACTGTTTGAAACTGGGGAGTTGACAGCTAGTGTACTTATATCTTGCAATTGTATTTTTTATTTTGCTGCATAAATTCCAGACTGATTATACCATATTTTATAGCATTCCTTTTCTTAGTAGACATGTCCTTTTTTTGCATGTTTGTAAACATTCCTGTATAAACCATATACACTCCTGTAAAACATTTATCAAATATTCACAAATTTCCATTAAATTTTGTGCGAGTGAGAAATGAAAGTGGTGATGCATATGTTAGGTTATTTTACTATTAGGGTGAAATTCAATCAATTGTAACGTAGAAAACTAGAAACCTCGTCCATTCTTTACTGACATGTTGGTTTGAAGGGACATGTAAGACATAGCAGAAATCCATAGATCTATATGCAAAATTACCTTTGACTTGTAGTGTAGAACTTATTCAAATATTGTACATATATATACAGATAGCCAAAAAGTTTGATAATGAAAAAATATATATCAAACAGAAATCCTGTATATAATTTTATTTATTTATATATATAAATTTGGCAATTTTCATGTATATATTTATAAAAATTTATTTATGGTCGCCATGGTAATACACAACGTGGAAACTTATGCTAATGATAAATTCCTTTCTTTGTAATATGAAGAATTGGTAGAGGCATACTTACTATTATGGGATGTTTGTTAGAAATATTAGAGGGTTTAACACTATAGGGAACAGTTGTCATAGCGACGGTTACTCCAGGGCAAAGGTTAGTGGCTAGAGATGTATATATATATATGTAACATAGAGAGTTGTTTTCTGTTATTTTGTTAAATTCTTAGAGGTGTTATGAAAAGACTGCCGTCCATGTAAGTGTGAGAGTGAACACATAATCCATAAGGTCTTTATCTTGTTGAGTTTTAACTTGTATTAACATTAATATATATATATAAATATAGATAGATATTCGTTTGCAAATAATTAAGAACAAATGTCTCTTTGTTATACTTACTTCCTATAGATCTGAAAACATGGTCAAAATGCGTAACTTGACCCTTATCCTATGTGGCTGCCAAGATCAGGGAGAAATGCCAGCTATATTGTCGATCCTCTTTTGGATTACAAATCTGTCTCTAGATCAAAAGGTTATTTGAAGCTCCTTATGAAATGGATTACTGACAGTTATGGTAGGATTTCATGTGATAACATCCATATTTCATCAACCTATACATTTTTAATACATATATTTTTCCATTGCTTTTGTTATTTTCTCACAATTTGTATGCAGGGTTAATCTTTGCTGTTCTGTTTCAAGATACAATAGTATTTAGCATTTGCATCATAAGCCCATTTTTCGCCCCATCAACGTTCATTACAAATCTATTAACCAACTGTCTGCTTTAAATGTTAAACACTGCAAATTGATACTGGTGCTGCTTTCTTGGTTATTTCTCATTTCATTTTCTTCAGATTATTATTTGATTTCTTAAAATATGCAATTTTTAAAACTCATTGTCATAATTATACTCCACTATCTACTTAAATTTTTAGATATTTTTTTTGTTTATTGACACATCAAGGAATTTCAATATTTTCATTTTTGCATTTCTTCATATCATGAATATTTTTTGTTATCCAAACAATTTGTTAACTATACACAACAAATACAAGCAATATTTTTAATAGAATTTATGTAAAATATATCCCCATATTACCAAGTATAAGTGAATGCATGCAGCTTATCTCCTAGATACTGTCCGTTATACTGGTTGTGAAATCTTGTTCCTCATGTGTTTCTCCAAGAACGTGTAGCGTTCTCACAGTTGCTTGCCTGGTTTGACCCCTCCATTTGAATTAATGTTTGGAATTAGGAAAGGCAATCTAACTCAAATAATATCTTCACATTGCTCCTGTTTACTGATGTCGCAAATATCAAGTAAACAGGAGCGATGCGAAGATACAATTTTAATAAGATAGTGAGAAAGGCTGTCGCAACATCAAGATTATTTTAGTGGATGGGCCAATCTTTTCAAGTATCTGTGCCTTCTTTATCTGTGTTCAAAATAGCTTTAACATTTATCCATAATGGTCAAATTTTTATATGTATGAGGTGAAATCTTATTGAAATAGTTTCAAATCAGTCTTCCAAAGTTTTTTGAATTTACGCATTGTCAAATTATGTAGGCATTCCAATTTACCAAAAGTTTGGAAGAATAACCTTTTTCAGCATAAAAAGGGAAGATTGTAAATGCATAGCATAAAATAAATTTGATTGTTTCAAAGGAATATTTGTACAATGGAACCTCAAAATTCTGAACTTCTGGTGTGTAAAGAAATAATTCAGAAAACTTCTTTTTGTAAATATCTTTTTAAAAAGATGAAAAAAAATTCAGTGAAAAGTTTGTTTTATCTTTCCAAAAAAATAATTTTCAGAAACCGTAGAGTTCAGACTAGAAGGGTTCCGCTGTAGTTGATGTCTCCTGGTCCGACAATAACCTTGTGTTCAGTGACCAGTTTAGCTCAGTAAGCAGAGCTAACCCTTATAATTGCCTGTAAATGTGTGGTTCTGTATGTACAAGAGTGTAACTTAGCTAGAATCATCTCATATTTGTGTGTTAGTGCTAACACAAAAACAGTGTTCAACCATATATTATATATAACAAAAAAAGCATTTGAGATTTTGATATCCATGTTTTTTTTTATTTTTGCAGATTTTTTACACGGCAATTATTTTGAGAATAAAATCTTGAAAATATGAAACTTTCTTTGTTTTTTTTTAATTTCCTGCAGATTTTACATAATTTTATACTATATATCTTGTTTTTGCTGTAAAAATTCCATTTAGTTTGTTGGTTTTATGCACAAGAACAAATAACATAGACATCAGCCTGGTACTGATAAGCAACCTCACACCTGTAGAATTTGAGTAATGAAGAAAATGTTTCGAAACATCGCGAAAAAACACTGAATCACAATTTTGGTTGCTTATCAAGTCTTCTATATGAAGGAATTCATGAAATGGAAATTCTTCACTTAAGGGTGAATTTTGTATATTCCCTTCCCCTTATTTTTATACAAATTAACAAAAAACATCTACATCAAAATGACAACGTCACATATCACACAAAAATGTAACGTTTCAGAAAAACTAACAAGATACTGAATATTTTGAACTACAACCTATGTAGTCCCCAAACAGTAGGTTACCAGGTGCACCTTCATGTACATGGATTGAGTTATATTGTGTTGGTGTTCTACAAGTGAAAAATGTATCTTGCATCTATCGAGGAATGAGAAAGGAAAATCTGTATTTTAAGATTTCTCATTTCAATCTATAACACTATTGATTCTTCAACTTCAGTACCAGTTTGAAGGGCAACAAACTGTTTTACTTATTTTACACAGCATTGCACCAATTAACTTCATCACATTGAGCAGTTAGACCAGAGTGGTTATTTAAGAAATTGCAATAGACCTGGTGGTCCGTTGATTTTTGGTAATCCCTGGTAAAGGTCAACGTCAATCTTCACATTTTCATTTGCAAGTTATACCTCTGAAAATGTTTCATTTGAAATAAGACAAACTCTTTGCTCTGCATAAACAAAATGGCCCCTCATTGCTGTTTAATGATGATCTTCAAGGGGGAGCAACTCTGTGTAGATCAAACTGAATACAAAGCATTTTATGCTTTAAAGACGATACAATTCCAGCTTACAGAATACAGATCTACTAGGTAAGATCAAAGTTTTGACGAGTCACACAATTTCCAGCTGAAATTGCATCGACCAATTGCAAAATATCACCTTGTTTTTCATACACTGAATATCTTATTTTATTTTCAGCTAAGAAATGTTAAAGTTCATGATCATGTGGGTGGTAAAGTTCACTTAAAAGTCTGTACACATACGATGGTGCATTTCCTCCTCTGAAAATAAAACACACAGGATATTCTACAATGTATTAAATTGTATTACACAATTAAAGAACATTATATTACACAATTTAGTTACATTGTATTACTTTTTTTTTGTATCTCACAATTTACTTCAATTTGTTTGCACTATTAAGTTACAAAAAAGTTATCAAAATTGTCACATTGTGAAATCATAACACGAACAAATTTCAGTACCATAATATTCATTGATCTGAAGTTTCATTGGACAGTCGTGATGATAGCTTATTGTGTTTCCAGGACTTATATCTCTGTCATCACCAGAATGAAAAATACTACAGGTCTACAGCATTGACACATTGTTTCAATAAAACAAGGGGAGACAATTATCTTGATGAATGGCAAGTCTTAAATAATGCAAATACTGATATAACAGCCCCTCCCCATTTTTCCTGCTTTGACTTTTGTTTGAATTGTTCAGTGATAATTAGAAAGGTAAGCCTCCAGTTTAGCTACCACAAAAACAGCCATCTTTGAAATGCCTCTGAATATGGCTAATTGAGCAAAATTGTTCCACTGGAATTTTTCTTGAACACCAAAAAAGTTTTATGTGACCTTGACCTTTGACATTTTGACCCCAAAATCAAATCAGATCCTCTGAAGCCGAAGAGTAGTCATCCTGTTGAGTTTGATCAATGTAGCTGAAAAAGCTAATTTATACGACTGTCCCCGAAACCAACATGCCTATAGACGGACAAAAATGTATTCTACTTTGAATCCCCCTTCCTTTTCTAATATTTCGAGCACACTCACCACCCATTAGGTCAAGTCTATCATCACATCACAGGTGCTTTCATTAACAGTTTGTCTCCTCTAATAAGTTTAAGTTGATGTTCATCCCCACCCACCCTCCTCATCTCACAAAACTGTATCCATATTTACACGACTAGAAATATTATAAAGAAAGAGTCTGTGTAAGCCATACTCACATATTGGAGACAAAGAGGGTGACAAGCTCCGGAGGTACATAGTCAAACACCGGGTTGGCTATCTGGACCTTTGATAGTATCTCACCCTCCGAGAAGTTCATGGCATCATGAGGGCTCACAAATTTGTTGAAGGCATCCTGTAAGGAAAACATTACATAAGAATTGTCGAGGGAATAATATTATTCAAGATTTGTATCTGTATGCCATTATTTACTCATGTTAATCAAATTTACCAGTGACAATGAGAAGTACCAAAACAACATACATGTATTAACATCATGTGAAAGTATATATTACTGATATATATAACAGTAAATCTGAAAGTTATTTCCTGCTGCAGCTATTATTTTTTAACTGCACACTGATTGAAGGCAAATATCTAGATGGATGTGACATATGTAAATTGGAGATGAACAGATAGGAACAGCATCATTTTTTAAGTTAAACAAAAATGAAATCAAATGTTTTGATAATGTTTGCAGGTAATTTTCAACAAAAAGTTTGCCTTGAGTAGTGAATCAAAAAAATAAATACTTCGGATGAGATTGTGTAATAATTACATGTATTGGAAACTGGTTCAAGTGATTTGGAGTCATTCAGTCGTACATTAATCAAACTTATATCGGTGATCCAATTGTAATAAAAAAAAGCCATAGAAAGGTACACGAACAATGGAGGATTCAGGTGATGCAATAAATGTACTTGATTACACAAGAGGTGTGAGTTATCTCCCTTACCTGGTCATAGGAACAGAGGTACTGCGGTGATAACTTAAACATGGCTGCACACACTATTAACTGTAAAGACATAAAATACATGTACAATAATACTTTGTTGCATGACTTTTCTGTAAATCTCAACAACCCTTCAAATTTCTGTCAGAGTGGTACTTCTGTCTCAGGCAGTGGCTGTTTAAGAGAGATAATTCTGCCATCGCATGAAATAGAGATTTTGTCACATGCAGTGGTAGTACTTCTGTCACATAAAGCAGAATTTCTTGGTAATTCTGTTATAGTCAGTGTTAATTCTGTCACAGTCACACTTACTACCACACTAGCCTGTACTTTTTAATCAAGTTTTAAGTTTCACTCCAGTGTTTTAGTGAGTAAGACTTACCGGTACAGAATAATGTTTGGCTGCTAGGGCCAGTGCATGGCTACCATTGATGGCCTTCAACCTGCAATATACACCAAGTACATCATTAGCATTTACTTATATCATATTTCCTGGGGGTTTCCCCAAAACCAATAAGGCAGAAATTACTTGACACCTGAGGATAGAATTTCCATGTCATATCTATGATAAACGACATTAGTCTTCAAATTTCAATTGAACAATGACCTCTCCCTTGACCCTCCCCGACTTCTCTTTTTAGGATCAGACTTACCCTCCATTGGCCATGACAGTGTGAGTGCCTATAATGACTTTGTTTACTCGGGACATAATGGCAAACACCGCTGAATCATTGATGACTGTTGTCTCGATTCCTGCCTTTGCCAGACTGACTGCTAGCTCCTGACCCTGTTAGAAACCAACACAGATATTAGCACTGGATGTTGACTTCAACATTTCAATATAATATAACACGTTTTGGAATTCAAGATCCTGAATCGACATTAAAGCATTTTCACATAAATTGATACAATTTTGAATTTTGTTTCTATTCAATTATGCTGAGGAACATGTCCAAATAATCTTGACCTATTTTTAGAAGTAATAACCTGATAAAACGGTGCACACTCTGCTACTATCACCTGGAATTTTCTCTTCTTTGCTGCTTTCTGTAAATAATCAAGTTAATCTAAATTGAATATGCAGACTTCAAAGGAGCTTAAAATACATGTAATTTGATACTGTTGAGATAACTCTGTAGAATACTGTACACAACTTATTCAAAAATATTCAGATAATACTGTAAATTACTGTAAAATACTGTAATTCTTTGCTTGTACATGTATTTCATTTTATTTATTATGCATCTAGGTTTGCTCATAAATAAATGTATTTCCATTCATGATTTATAGGATGCAGTTTCAGTATATTTCATTATCTTTGAAATAAAGTCCACAAAATATTGAAATTCACAAATATGTTTTCTTGTCAATTAATGTGGAAACTGATCTCCTGCGAAAATAAAAGCAAATATTTTTTTATGTAGTTTGGCCACCTGTTGTGCAATGCTGGACCACTGAAGAAAAGACTGCTCCAATGACAGACATATTCCACACTGCCTACCTTAAGGAAAGCCTCCACAGTTTTGGATTTGCCCGCAGTCATGATGACCTCATTGGAGTGTATATGTTCTAACGCCTGTCCAGCTATGTTGTCAGCACTGAAACAACAAGCAAACAAGTCTATTATAACTATTACCCTCTGACCTTAAACCAAAGTAGTGACAATGTCATTATATTCCTGGGGTGCACAGAGCGAAAATGAGCGTAACCCCTGCAGTATTTGAGGATGTATCGAGGATGTGACAATGTAGTGTCAGAGAAAACTACAGTGGAGCCTTGTCAATCAAGATATATTTCCAAACTTATCTGGCTCCATGGACTGTGATAAAGCTGAATTATTGGGACAGTTTGTATTACAAAAAGAGGACTCTACGTAGCTTTCCAGGTACCAAATATTTAGTAGAGTAAATTTACATGCAAAATTGTGAGATTTTAGCTTGTTTAATATTGACAAAATTATTAAAGGTTGAAAAATGTCATTAATTAAACAGTGATTAAGCTAACCCCCTTTTAAACCACTAGACCCTGTAGGATATTTAACAGTGATTTAGCTAACCACCTTTTAAACCACTAGACCCTGTAGGATATTTAACAGTGCTAGGACCACCATTTTAACATTACGATGGATTCGTCCTTGCAAACAAACCAATACATGTAGTAATGTACCTGAAAGATGTGAAACTTGATATAATTATGATGCAATATCTCATGACAATATACATGAACACTAAGAACACGTATGAGTAAACCATGGACCGACCTGTTTTCTAACTCCACTTTCAGCTCATTGAGTGCCTCAATCACAGATACCTGTTGGGAAGGGAAAAAACATTACCAATCAGTATCTTAGTTTGTTCCTATCAATTCAATTGGAGTGAACATACTATGTAGTTATGTCTAATAGTTTACCCAGTGAAAATATATATGGAAGCAAAATGCATCGAGTTATACTGTTAATTAATTAATATTTCAAAACAAAATATTTTAATTATTTTCCATTAAATGGTGATCAAAGACAATCACAATTCAAATAGGCCTAGGAAATATATACAAGGATATACAGCTTTTGTTGTTTCTTTCGCAAATTTACCAGTAAATATTTTACAAAAATACGAAAAAAAATATTCACAATAAAAATGTAAGTTACAGTATGTGTACAAAGCTTGTTGAAGTGGACCAACATAAATGTCTTCGATAATTACCTTTAGAGTTGGCACTACCCTGCTGTAGTCATCAACCTCGCCCTCAGCTAATAACAGTTTCTGGAATGACATTATATATACATTGGAATCATTAAATACGCTGATATTTAAAAACTCCCAAGAGAGGGTGATAATCACAAACTTCCTTTTTCAAATCCATTTTTGTTTTTATTTTGTGAGGAAATCTTTGCAAAAAACTGTCCAAAGTAAAACATTGACACTGCATTACCAACGTCCACTACAATTTATACAAGAAATTTATCAAATACAATCATAACAAAATATCGTTCAGTGGATCCAGATTTAGTAACATGTGAATCTAGATACAAACATCAGAAAAAGCTATCTACAGAGATGATACAGTAACTACACAGAGAGGAAACCATGGTATGAAAGGAAACAGAAATGTTAGGGAGAGGACATTGCAATGGTAGAGAGGATAGAACCATGGCAGGAAAAAACACTTAGCAGAAACTGTAGCTTTGGTAAGTAAAGAGAAGACAATATCATGGTAGAAGACCATACAGGCATGGTACAGAGTGGTACAGAGTAGGCTCAACTACATGATAGAGGGAGGGCACAGTCACGGTAGATAGGGGATATGGGCANGCGGGGGCGGGTTGTTACCGTAACGGTACAGCAGTATGGTATGTGTGGACCTATCCTGATGTTTAGGGAGGGAGGGAGAGGGGGGGATTGTTACCGTAATGGTACAGCAGTATGGTATGTTTGGACCTATCCTGATGTTTAGGGAGGGAGGGAGAGGGGGGCGGGTTGTTACCGTAACGG